TGAAAGCAGAAGAATTTTTTTTAAAATCGCCCAAGGCTCTGATTTTAAGGGACGCGAATAACTGGGTTTATTTCCAAATCGCCCAAGGCTCTGATTTTAAGGGACGCGAATAACTGGGTTTATTTCCCCCTACCCAGCACTCTCGGGGCTCTTATTTCGTTTAGCTCATGTTCCGCTCGCTGAGGGAGCCGATGGGGCGTGACCCAGAGGGACTGTCACCTAAACTCATTCCCGGGCATCTGGGAGCAAGAAAATACAAAGAGGGAAAAAATAAAGAAGTAAAGAAGAGCGAGAAGCAGTCCCTCTCGCAGCGCTGACCGCGGCCGCGCCCGGCCCCGAGCGGGAGCAGCGCAAGCGGCGCCCGGCCCGGGCAGCAGCGGGGGCAGACCCGCACCGTGGCGCTGGGCGCCCAGCGGGGTGGCTCCGCCGGGCTCGGCCCCGGCTCCCAGGAGCGGGCCCCGCTCTGCGCCCCGCAGCGCGGGGCTGGGGTGGTTTGCAGAGACCTCAGAAACGCGTTTCCACAGGCGCAGCCCCCCCTAGTGACACCGCCGGCAGGAGCGCAAGGCGCTGCCGCGGCGACAAGGAGGGGGTCCCACGGGTCGCGCCCCGTCCCGCGGCGGCCCGCACCGCTGCGGAGCCCGGTCGCGGCTACGGGCGCTGGACACCGGGCACCCCTCACCCCGCCCCGGCTGTCTGGGTCCCGCCGCGCCACCGCGGGAGGGGGCTGCTCGGGGAAAGCTGGCGCTTTTGGGGAGYGCAGCTTTCTCGCTGCTTCAGCAACTAACTAGCCCTCCCGCGCTTGCCTACGGAGTCACGCATGACCGCCACTCTTTCCAAAGTGCTAGATGGATGCGATGCTTGGGACGTGAGGCCGGGAGTTTAGGAGCTCATSCAAACCCCCCTAAAACCGACAGAAAGCCCTTTAGGGCTGTCCAGGACGTTTGCGTTAGGCCCTCAAAGCAGTGACGGTGGTTCAGGGCTAGTGGCTTTACAGCCTGGCACGAGCCTGTGTGCTGGGGCYGTGCACAGTGGGGCTTGCTGACCCTTTCTGCAGGCTTGCCACTTGTACAGGATCTAGCATAGAAGCATGAGCTGAAGAGAACTCCTGAAGAGAACTCATCAACCCCCAGGTTCAGTTGACGCTGTTGCCCATACTGATAATAAACACTGGCATGCCGCTTGGCAAAGCACTTGGGACCTTTCAGAGCGCATGTATAACGCTGAGGACGTGCAGTCGCATGTCTGGATCATTTTCAGTCCAAATGAGTACTTTATTTTGTTACTGAAAAGCTGTTTGCTTCGCTTGTGGTAACAAATTACTAACCAATCTTTATCTRTCACTGTTTTCTTTTTTTAATTCCTAGCTCAGACTCAGGTAGAAATGTGACTTTCAATTCCAGTGTTTGTATTTAGGAATATTCTTACCTGCTGAGCAGCTAAGATGAGCCCATGATCATTTTGAATCCTAAATTTAATGTGACGTGGTTATGTGAAGGAAATACCACATGTTTGTTACGCAATCCACTTTATGTGATTTAAAGTGAAATTTCACCCATGAAAGAAATGGCACAACAACCAAAAATGCAGCCGTTTTCATTGCTGTTTGCGGCAGAGTTGCTGGGGGCAGTCATTGCGCTTGGGCCGATCCTTGGCGGTGAGAGCAAGGATAGAACCGGGAGCTAAAAGCAACTGAATCAGGTCTTTCTTCCCAAGGGCTGAGTTAGGCGCTGGTAAAATCCTTGGAGATTTTTCAGAGGTTTGCAAGTTAGCCGGCATTAGATTGAGCTAAGGAGTTTGTCTTCTCAGTTTGACTCAGAGAAGGGCTTTGTGATTTATTCGTCTGCTATTGAATTAATTCTAAAATACTTGGCTGGGGGGTGGGGAGGGATTGTGGTAGCTTTTACTGCTCTGCAATCTGTTATTTACCTACAGTTGAAAAAAGTCTTTAAAGGCATGAAAAGGAGAAAGAACTAAATGAGGATTTTGTATATGAACTATAGGAAATTATTTATTTATATCACCGTTTAGGGTTTAAAATCCTCARTATATTATTCAAGTAAAACACTCATTAAGTTAGAGATTCTACATTCAGGCACATTAAACTTTTGTTTGTGGGACTGTAAAGCACCCCGTGGCCTCAGCTGGCCTGCCRCAGCTGCACCATTTCGGTAGAGAACTTCTACAGAGCAAAAAGCTCTGTTCAGCACTTCCGAAAATTAGCAAAGACGGGTTTTTCGTGCCGAGACACTCGTGCYGCGAAGCTAGAGCTGTGCCGTGTAAAGTGACCGCCGCAGTGCCCTGCGATACCGCTCTGCAATGCTGCTGGTGTCGCCCGCTTGTCTGATTTTAGCAAGTTGGGTTATTTTGAGCTGCGAGTATGGGGAGTGGGTGGGCGAGGGTCAGTATGTTCAGAATTGCAGCATTTTGGAACCTTTGCATTTTTTTGTAGCTTAATTTGCAAGTGTTTTAAGAGTTGGAACAGCCACATGGGGGGTGCCTCTCCTCAGATGTTATTTGCATGCGTAGGATTCTGCCTTAGCAAAATAAAGACGAAATGCTGGAATCTCCAAAATCCTCGCGGTGACCAAACATCAGGGCCTTCTCAGATGAAGACTTTTAAAGAGGTGGCCTTAAATAAAACCCAGGCTGGCTGGGTTGCAACAATACCTTTAGAGCAGCAGTGGGCTGTCATGTAACTAACACAAATATAAGGTCATCCTTGGGGAATGTGACATTAGAGTCCAAATAATTAGCTCACAGTCCCCTGGGCCCTGAAGTTGGTGAATTTTCTGCATTCGCCCACTTGTCGGTCTCGCCGCATCTGTGCTGGATTTTCTATTTGTTTCATTGTGTCGGAAAATGAATAACCCCATCGGATCTGACCCCGCTGGAGCCCAGCTCCCCAGCAGCCGAGGGAATCTGATTGCTAACATTCAGGTTAGGAAGATGGATAGCATAAAGGATGTTTGCTGGCTGAGCGAGCCTATAGATAGCAAGAGGAGGAAGGGAGAGTATCTGGCGATGAGAAAGCCAGTGGAGGGCTTTGTAGGCTTTTATTATTATTATGTCTGTATTAAAAATACATTTCCACACATCTTCCTGTCCTTGTGGAATTGTGTGTACRTGCTGGTGTCTTTCTGGGATGGTGTACAACTCCGCTATAACTTGCTGTAGGAGAAGGATCCTGATGTTGCCATTTCTGTGCCACAAGGAAACACCTGTTGAAGCCAGTGCACATGTGTGTGTTTGCGTGTGTCTCCAAAAGAGTGTGTGTATCAGGTGAGCCCAGAACGGTCTCCCTTAGTGGCTGTGAATGTGCTATAACTAATTGCATCTGCTTTACATGCGCTGCTAGCAGCCCTGCCTTGCTTTTGCTCATGTTTGTTTTCTTCCCAGGAGAGGTGCAGAAGAGGCAGTTTATTAGGTATAAAACACTAGGCAGTGGTGTGGTGAAATGCTTTTGTGTCAGGGACAGGCTGCTTCTAGACTAC